TTTTTCTTTGGGAGGTTTCTTTTCCTCTACCTCTTCTTTGGGAGGTGTCTTTTCCTCTACCTTTTCTTTGGAAGGTTTCTTTTCTTCTGTTTTTTCTTTGGGAGGTTTCTTTTCCTCTACCTCTTCCTTGGGAGGTGTCTTTTCCTCTACATCTGCTTTGGAAGGTTTCTTTTCTTCTACTTTTTCTTTGGGAGGTTTCTTTTCTTCTATCTTTTCTTTGGGAGGTTTCTTTTCTACTACCTTTTCTTTGACAGGTTTCTTTTCCTCTACCTCTTCTTTGGCTAGTATCTTTTCTTCTACCTTTTCTTTGGGAGGTTTCTTTTCTTCTATCTTTTCTTTGGGAGGTGTATTATCTTCCATCTTTTCTTTGGCAGGTTTCTTGTCCTTCTTTTCCACATCAAGTTTTGTCTTTATTTCTTTCTTTGCCTTCTTTTCTGTAATATGTTTCTTTCCAACCTTTTCTTCTTCTATAGCTTTCTTTGGTTTAGAAGTTTTCATTTTTTCTTTCTCCTCTGTGGGGAGTGTTAACTCTTCTGTCTTTAATGTTAGAGGTTTCTCAACTCCCTTTTCTTGTTTTAGATGTTTTTTCTCCTTCTGAGATGGTTCCATGTCTTTGGAAATCTTCTTTTCTTCAGTTTCTTTTTTGTGTGACTCCTTTCTTTCTTTTCTGTCTTTCTGGAGTCTTTCCTTTTTCTGTTTTAGTTCCAGTAATGTTTTTTCTTCATCTTTTTGTTTTGGAGGTTTTGATTCTTTGTGAAGTTTTTGTTTGTCTTCTTTGGACTGCTTTGTCACCTTTTCTTTTTTTTCTGAACTCTTGACTTTTTCTTCTTTTTTCACATGTACCTTTATGTCCTTCTCTTCCTTTAGAATTTCCTTTTCCTCTTTTTTTTCTTTAGGGGCTTTTTCTTTAGGAGATTTTCTCCTGTCTTTTAGTTCTTCTTTAAATGTTTTGTCATCCTTTTTGAAGGGCGTCTCTCTGTCCTTTTCTTTGGATGGCTCTTTTTCTTGTTTCTTTTCTTTGAGTATTTTCTTCTCTTCTCTCTTTTCTTTCTGATGTTTTAACTCTTTTTCTTTTCCTTTCAAAGGCTTTTTTGCAGATGTTTCTACTAAAAGGACCCAAAAGGTAAACCAAATAATTTGTGATCATTATCACAATTGTATAAAAACATCAGGTGTACTTATAAATACATGCACGTGTCAAGCAATTTTCCATCAACCTATTCGTCAAATAGTTAGCTATTTATTTCAGAATCTTACTATTTTGGATTCTGAAGATTTATTATTCAAAATGGTTCTTAAGATTTTTGCAGTATATTTACCTGCAGGATGTGCCTTTTCCCTCTCAAGATGTTTAGCTGCAGGTTTGTCCGCTTTCAGTTTGACTTCTTTTAGTTTTACAACAACAGTTTCTTTCATTTGGACTTCCTCTTCTTCCTGTTCAGGCACTGCAACTTTGAGATATGAAGACATCAAAATATATTCGGAGCTAACACAATCATACTATTATGTTTATATAATTAGTACATGTAGTACAATGTTAAATAACCCATTTTATTGCTTTGCTTTTTGAGAATTTCAGAATATCATAAAACAGCATATTTCAGATGAGTAAGTCAAAGCAAAGGCTTGCAAAGCACTAAAGGCATTATAGCTTTGAATTCACCAATACATAATATGTTGTTTCTATTTGTTAAAAGCACAAAGACCTGTGTTGGGAACTGTTTTTTTTAACATTATGATGGACAAAGTTGAAACACTAATACAGGTGCATCTCAAAAAATTAGAATATCATGAAAATAAGTTAAGAAAGTGAAACACATTACTTAAATTTATTACACATAGAGCGAAATATTTTAAGCTTTGTTTTTTGTCATTTTGATGATTGTGGCTTACAAACAATAAAAATAAAATTAGTGTCTCAGAAAATTAGATTACATGACCCATCACATCAACAGAAGATTATCGTAAATCACAAAGTGGACAAATAATCAGCTAGAGAGCTTTGCATTGACAATTGCATTTTGTCTAAATAAAATGAACCTTATCTAAAAGTCATTTAAATTAAAAATCTGTAATTGTTAAAAAAAATTGAATCCCGTTTTTGAGCAGTACCTACAAAAACATGATTTTGAGCAAAAAAGCCTTAAATGTTTGTCATTTTCCCTGAGAGCTAGCAAAGTAGTTTTTTTTTCCAGCTGGTAAATTTCAATATCTAAATATATTTTGAGTCTTTCTCTTTAAAATTACATAAAAAAATCTTCATTAGAATAACCTAAAAGTAGAATGAAAACAGCTTGACCAAAATTGACAATCCTCAGTTTGATGTGATGATCACATATTACATAGCCAGCTTTTAGTAACTTTGTCAGTGTGGGCAGGAGCAAAGTCCTGCTTGAAAATGAAATCAGGAACTTCAGAAAGCTCATCGGCAGAAAGAAGCATGAAGTGCTCTAAAATGTCCTGCTTTGATTGTGGACTTCAGAAAACACTGGACTGACACCAGATGACATGGTACTCCACATCATCACTGACTGTGGAGACTTTGCACTGGACTTCAAGCAAAGTGGACTCTGTGACGCTCTCTTCATCCACTCTGAAGCTTGATGACTTTCTGAAAAGAGGACAATGAATAGACCACTGAGCAACAGTCCAGTTCTTTGTCTGCTCAGCCCAGGTGAGACATTTGTGATGTTTCTGGTTCAGGAGTGGCTTGACTTGAGGAACGGGACATTTGTAGACCATGCCTAGAGGAAATAAGGACTTTGCTCCAGCCCACATGCCAAAATTACCAAAAGCTGGCTGTGATATTCTAATTTTCTGARACTATGAATTTCGTTTTTCAGTTATTTGTAAGCCATAACCATTAATATGACAAGAAATAAAGATTTAAAATATTTCCTTTTATATGTAATTAATTTATGTACTGTATATGAGTTTCACTTTTTGAACTGGCTGACAAAAAAAAAATACAAAAAAAAAAAAACCTTTTTCATCATTTTCTAATTTTTTGAGGTACTTGTCTGTTACTTTAACACAAAATGTAAAAACACATAAAACAAAGGTTTCAGTCGTATCATATTCCCAGAGATGAATGGTTACAGTCAGTATTCAGATATTATTCTGTGGATGTTTATAAGATAATAATCGATAGAGTTTTGTACCTGTCTTATATTTGTCGACATGTTCTTTATGTGATGTTCTGACTTTTCTCAGCTCCTTTGAAGCAGCGTGAGCCAACTCCATCTGTTCTGGGTCAGACTTTCTGCTCTCGTTGTTATTTTCATCACCATCATCCTCCACATCAGGAAACTCTTCCTCGCTGTGATCAGATGGTGAGGTAGTCTCTGCTCCCTCATCTTCATCAGGTTCAGGTCCAGCAGTGTCATTAATGAGGGTTAACTCCAACATGTTCAGATCTAATTGGTGAACTGATGACTCCTCTTCTACATTTTCATCAAACTGATCTTTAGCTTCTGCAGTTTTTTCAGATGGATGTTTGTCTTCAGTTTCCTCGTCTTCAGCTTCAGTTTTTGTTTCCTCCCTGGCCTCGCCCTCATCTTCTACAACCTCTGTGGTTTTGGTCTCCTTCTTCTCCTGATCTTGTGCTGTCACTTCAGTGTTTAGCTCCTCAAACTCCCTTCTTATTTCTTTATCATCTACCAAAATGTCTTCTGTCTCAGGTTTGTCCTCTCCTTTTTCTGCCACGATGTGTTCACAGTTGAGTTTTTCTTCTTCTTCTTCCTCCTCCTCTTTGGCCAAATGGTCCTCAGTTTCAGGTTCCTCTTCAGATCCTTTGATCAAATCTTCAGGTCTTGTTTTGTCTTTTTCCTTCTCCATGTCCTCCAGGTGCTCAACTTCGTCTTCTTTGGTCAAATGGTCTTCAGTTTTAGTTTTCTCCTCCTCTTTAGCCAAATGATCCTCACTTTCAGGTTTCTCTTTTGATTCTTTATCTTCAACAGTATCTTCAATTTTAGTTTTTTCCTTCTCTTCATTCTTAATTTCATCCTCCTTCTCCTCCTCTTTGGCCAAATGATCTTCAGTTTCAAGTTTCTCCTCCTTTAGTTTTTTATCTTCTTTTTCCTCAGTTTGGTGTTTTTCCTCTTTCTCACTGGCCAAAATGTTTTCAGTTTTAGTTCCACCATCTTCTTGATGTTGTTCAGTTTGGGGCTTTTCTTCCTCCTCATTCTCTACCTTTCCATCTTCGACCTCTCCATCTGCTGAATGGATCTTTTCAATCTCATGTTTTTCTTCATATTCATGCCCTGTTTTTACTTGATCTTCCTTTTCACCATCCTCTTCCTCCCCTTTCTGCTCTTCTTCTTGATCCATTTGTTCTGCATCCTCCTTTGATCTTATCCTTTCTTCTTTCTCACCAGAAAGGTCTTCTTTTGTTGCCTCCTCCTCTTTGCTTTCATTATCAAATAATTCCTCCTTCAGTGAAGGCTCAGGTTGCATGTCTTCAATATGTTTCACTAGTGATACGATAAGCATTAAATGTAGTGTTTTATTTTTAAATTGGATGTATGTGACTTATAAAAAAATGAAACATCTGAATACCCTCATCATCCTCTTCCTCAGTCACTCCTGCTTCAGCGACAGTGGCAGTTGGCTCTTCAGCCTCCATCTCGTCTGGTTTTGAGTTTGAAGTTAACTTTGTAGCAGCGATGTCTTCATCTTCTGCAGCCTGCATCACCTCTGTAACTGTATCAGGAACCCTCATCATCAATCTGAGCCTGTATTTGCTTGTAAAAGTCTTTCGTGCTGGAGGGAATTTAATTTGGCCAAATGGCAACAACGGTACTAATAACTGATACAACAGAGTGCACATGCTGCAGTTAATTTCATTGTGCTCTGTACAATGACAATAAAGATCCARTCTAATCTAATCTAAATATATATATACAGCGGGTAAAATAAGTAATGAACACGTCACCATTTTTCTCAGTAAATATATTACTAGAGGAGCTAATGACATGAAA